GGAGGTTGCATTTTCCTTCTTTAAAATAAATAAATAAAAAGTAGCATGACGGCTTTCCTGCCGGCCCTGCCTTGAGTGTTTACTTCTTCTCGGCCCTAGATTTCGCGGCCTCTACCCGGCTTCCATGTCAAAAGAAGGAGGCTATGGTCTGGGACCTCCTTTCTTTCCCCCCATAAAGCTGGCAAGGGGGTCCTGGCGGCGACTGCCTTGTTTTCCTTTCTGCCTCCGAACAGGACAGAAGTTGGTCTGCAATGGGAAGAGATTCCCCAAAGGCGGGCCGGCCGCAGGTGTTCACAAATGGCTCCAAATTTCTTCGGATAATCAATTGGATCCAGCTGAATCTCTGCCCACTGGGAAATGCTTTTGCAAAGGAAAATGGACAGGCGACGGGAAGAGAGAAGGCGGTGGTGACAAGGGGGGTGGGTGGAAAAAGAGAGAGACCACTCCCTTCCCATCAAGGACCAGTTGAGATCCCTTCTGTCCTTGGGACAGACTGGGCGGTGGAGCAGGGGGACCTTGCCCTTTAGTCTCCCGATAGCCATCTGTATTTGTCTGAAAGGTAGTGCTGGAGGAGAATTTGCTGATACGATAGCCAGAAAGACAAAAAAAAAAAAAGCAGGTCCTAGATCAAATCAAGCCTGAACTTTGGAGGTGAAGATGATGAAACTAAAGCTATGCTACTTTTGGGCAGGTCATGAGAAGGCAGGATTATTTCTGGAAAAGACCATCCTGCTGGGAAAGGCAGAAGGCAGCAGGAAAAGAGGAAGACCCCCAATATGAGATGGACAAATTCCCTAAAGGAAACCACAGGCCTGAGTTTGAAAGAGCTGAGCAGGACATTTCAGAGGTTGCTCGTTCATAGGCTCACCCTGAGTCTGAGGTCACATGACGGCCGATAACAACAACATAATCATCTAGGCAAGAGTGTGAATTTCGGAAGCAGGGCTCCTGAAAGGTTGGCTACAACCCCCATTATCCCCCCCCCAGTCAGCATTGTCATGAAGGATGATGGGTATTTCACCCATAACCCACTTGATGTCTCCGCTAATTGGGAGGGAAAAGGCTCTCCTGAATTTTAGGAAATTTCCCCTGTCCAACCCCAAAGAAGCAGCCGAGGATTCAACCACGGTCCTCCTGCCCACAAAACGCAGTTTCTACTCAGTGGGATAGAATGCTGTTTTAAATCATGTTTACAGTAGGATCCCCTTATTTACAGGATCCTTATCTGCTGATTCAATTATCAGCAGGCTGAAAATACTAAATGATAAATTAAAAAACCCAAATACCTACTTCTATGTATTTCCAGGGTGTCGTTACCAGAAACTGGCCACTACAGAGCGTTAGAGACTGTGCAATGTACAGTACATATAGTGTTCACTATTTCCACAACCACACATGTATTCTGCCCCGAGACCCCAGTTTCGTGTTCTGTTTTACCCCAAAAATATGATAAATTAAAAAACCCAAATACCTACTTATATGTATTTCCAAGGTGTGATTACCAGAAACTGGCCACTAGACAGCGTTAGAGACCATGCAATGTGCATATAGTGTTCACTATTTCCACATTTTTCCGCCTCGGTGGGGCAGGAGGGCTTGGCATCGAACCATCACAGATCCCCTCCAGTCCCTCCCATCCTTCCCCTTCGATAAATTAAAAAACCCAAATACCTACTTATATGTATTTCCAAGGTGTGATTACCAGAAACTGGCCACTAGACAGCGTTAGAGACCATGCAATGTGCATATAGTGTTCACTATTTCCACATTTTTCCGCCTCGGTGGGGCAGGAGGGCTTGGCATCGAACCATCACAGATCCCCTCCAGTCCCTCCCATCCTTCCCCTTCAGCTCCTGTCGCTCCTGCCGGCCCAAACTCTAAAAATCATAGAACTGGAGAGTCTTGTGTAGGAGATTCGCAAGCCTGGGGAACAGCTGGAAACTGTCCTGGAGATGAATCCACAACCCCACACGTGTTCTGCTCCGAGACCCCAGTTTCGTGCTCCGTTTTACCCCCCAAAAGGGCACCGCTTTGGAAGCAGGAGAGATGCTTGGCTGGGGGCTCATTTGCTCCCATTTCAGCAACCCAGACCACCCCGGGGGGCTTGCACCCTCCCAGACCCCCAAGACTGCACCCTTAAATGTCATTTTCCAGCTTCTGCTCCCAGGATGGGGGGGTGAGTTACAGGTTCAGCAAACAACAACTTACCAGAGCATCATCTAAACCAGAGGCGGGTGTGTGTGTGTGTGACAAGTCAGGGTCCAGAAAGAGCCAAAAATCCAGATAAACAGAGGAGGGAACGCAACTCAAACAGAGACGGACCAGAAGCCTCCTCCTCCTCCAGCCAGTCCAGAAGGCTTCACACCACAAGATCCGGGGTGCAAAACAGAGAGATCCACCAGTGATCCAGGATTTCCACTCCCAGTTTAAGGCTTTTTTAAAAAGCCCAGGTGCCCCACCTTGCCTCTCAGGTGAAAAGATTTGGGATTAGAAGTTGCAGGATTAGGCCCTCTGGCTCTCCCTGGGAGGAAAAGCTTCCTCTCCTGGAGACCTCTGCTCCCAAGAAGGCTTCCTCTTTCTCTTGAGGAGTCTTTTCCTCCTGCAGGTGAACACTTCACAAGACAGGGGATATTTGGAAGGGGGAAAAAAAACATCAGAAAGACACTTTGATCCGCTTTCCAAGTGATTTTATTTTCCTTTTTAAAATATGTTTGTTTTATTGTTTTTAAATAGTTCTAGATTCCCTTTTCTTTAGCCTTTCAGTGTTGTCTTGTTCATGATGTAAGTCACCTGGGGTCCTTTTTTTAAAAAGGAGAAAAGCAGAATAGAAATATTTTAAATAAATACATTTCCATCTGGAATTGAAAAGGAAAAACAATGGGCTCTCTCGCTTTTTTTGGTATAAAGTGGGCCTTGAGGGAAGAATGTTTACTTTGGATGGTTGTCTCTTTCTCCTCTTTCCGAAGATCAGGGCTCGATACAATTCTGCCAAATTCTGCTAAATGGCAGTATTTCTCTTTACCTCTATTGGTGTCCAAGTATGGCCCGCCATTTAAAATGCATCAGCGTTTCTCCTTCTTCACTTTTCACACATTTGCCTAGGCTTAAGAAACACCCCACAAATAAATTCATAGATATCTCATAGTGGCGAGGAAGTATGACACCCTAGATTGGGTAAAAACTAGGAATGAAGATTAAATCATCTCTCTCTCTTTTTTTGGTGCAACCTTACAGACAGGATCTCTGGTTTCTCTAGCCGTTAGATCTGAAGTCGCAGAGAGAAAACAATGCTTCGCCTCTCCTGGACACGACAATGGCTTTTTAGTATAAAACTACTGTCAGAAATTCACTATTTCTGGTGCATTCTTTGGACATTGCTCTGCTCCTGCCCAGCCGTCGATTTTTTACTGCGGGGAAATTATTCTGCATTTATGCACTTCTGCAAATAAATGGTGCTGGAGTAATGTCTTGATTGTGGCAGAGGCACGCATTTCGCAAAGCGATCTCCCTCTTTACAAGGAATGAGTCAACCCCATTGATGGATGTGGACCTTATAGGATCCCTTATAGGGGCTAAATGACAGGCTGAGCACCTTCAGGTGGGGGCCACGTTGGGAGACTTACCTGCAACTTTGATCTACTTTCACCAAAGTCTGTGTTTCACTATCTTTAGATTCGGGATGTTTATGTCACCATCATGAATGTTTGGGTATTCTTTGCTATTTTATTTCAGTTTTTATTTTCTTTCTGGACTGGTGTGTGTTGTTGTTGTTGTTTTTATTTGGTTTGCTTATTTTCCTCAATCTGCTTCTTAAGCACAATTTGTGCATCACCCAAACCTGGCAGATTTTTTTAAGCATGCACCTGTTGCATTTTGCAATTCCTTGTGGGTGAATAGACCCCAATTGACACGCCAACCGTGACCTCAAAAGATGCGTACCCAGCTACAACTCAGGCACACAAGTTGTCTTGTAACCAGCGGCACATCAGAAACTGTCATCACGGTCGGCGGTGCACTTCTATCACGCACACGTGCGCGACATGAAGAAGATTCTGGCAAAGCGGCAAGAACTGGACAGGCTTAGCCTCGAGAAAAGAAGATGGAGAGGAGATACGAGAGCCCTTTTCAAATCCTTGAAAGGTAGTCATTCAGAGGAGGGGCAGGATCCGTTCTCGGTCCTCCCGGAGTGCAGGACACATCATAATAAGCTCAAGCTACTGGGAGCCAGATTTCGGCTGAATATCAGGGAAAACTTCTCAACTGTTAGAGCAGTACGACAATGGAACCAAGTATCTCAGGAGGCGGTGAGCTCTCCAGCGCTGGAGGCCTTCAAGAGGAAATGGGACCGCCCTCTGCCGGATCTGCTTTGACTGGGATGCCTGCCTTGAGCAGAGGGGTTGGACTGGATGGCCTTAAGAGGCCCCTTCCATCTCCATCATTCTATGATTCGGAGTATTTCCCCCCCCCCAAAAAATAAACTGCAAGAACAGTCCTGCAGAAAAAGACTCGCCATGTAATGCCGAGCGAGTTGCGTCAGCCTTTCACACCCACGCTTTTGTGAGTGTCGAACTTCTGTTTTGCTTCCACGAGAAATAAATGGGTTCAAGCATGAATCTCGGACCGCCTGGTGGTGATGGGGTTCATGACGACAGAATAACAACCTTTATTAGTACCAAAGGAAAATGCCTGTCCTGTGAGGTGGGCCAAATCCTGGTCCACTCCGCACCCATAATGCACCCTGGCAGCAGAGAACCATCGTTTGTGCCTGGTTCCCCTCAGGAAAGGAGGAGGCCACCCCCTCCTGCCCGCCTGATTATTTCACGCTCTGGAGCGTAAGATTTGATTAGGCCGATCCTAACAGGCGGGCCCGTGACCATCAATTAGCGCTTGTGAAATTATCCAGCTGCCGCCCGACGCGGCGTGAGAAAGGAACTTTTTAAAAGAACGGGAGGTGGAGGGGAAAGAGAGGAAGAAAACAGGACTCGACGCCAGCTTCCACTTTGTCTCCGTCGGATCATTCCCATCTGCCTGGAAAGGGTTTAATTGTTCGCCGTCGGCTTACAAAAATCATAAATAACATTCTCCACAAACTCCCCGCTGGGCTCAACCGAATTTAAGACACGTCCATAAATATACACATAGAAGTAAAACAAAAGACCCCACAGGCACGGGGTCGACCCAGCCCTGGAAAGTGCAAAACCACTGCAAATAAATAACGTTTTTTTGAAATAAATAAGGGAATAAATAAATAAATAAATAAACACGTGTTTGTGGCACAGACACACGGTTCAAGCAGGCAGCCCGTGGAACTCCCCCCCCCTCTCGTGAGCACCTGCTCCACCCCCAGCACTCCCCTGTCCATTTCTGAGCTAAGAGGCAATCATCATCATTCTGGGAAAAAAATACAGAGGTTGGGAACCACTGGCAGGGTTCATGATTTGCAGGCACACGGCACATTGGCAACCAGGGGGTTTCGGACAGCCGGGTTTGGGCATCATCTTACAGCCGGGCATGTCCACCTGGCCTCCGGTTAGAGCCAGAACGCTGATGTCAAATGCCCAACTTGCTACCCTCTAGGATGTTTGGGACTACAAACCCCATCGCCCTTGCTTCGTCCGCCAAAGGTCCCTGGATCACTCCCCAAGGCGTGGAAGAAAACGCCGTGGTGCAAATGAAGTGGTTTCCGCACATCCAATAAAACATGGTCCTTTACGCACCTAGGGTGCGAGTCGTAACGCAGGAGCCCCGTCTCTGGTTGCAGGGGGTCACCCTAAACGGGAACAGAAAATGGAAAGCGGAGTTCTTCTCCCCCCCCTTGCCCTTTTAAGATCACCATTTAGAAATGACAGTTCCCCCAAGATATGGGCTCTGCTGGATGGGGGGAACATGGGCACGGTAGTCTTTAAAAGCAGCATTTGCCAACTCTGGGGGGAATACACTGCATGGGTGTAGGAAGCCCTGGCTTTCACTGCTATCAGCATGATGATGGAGCTGCCGGTTCTGAAGGACTGACAAGGAGAACGAGCCACAACATCTCCTTGCGCCTTGTTGTGTTCTTCGGTTTGGGTGTCGTGTGTTTGCCTCTCGCCCAGTTTTCTAACCAGGGTTCTCAAATGCCAGATTCTCCTGAACAAACTAAGCTCCACGCTGGGGGTTATCCATATTTCCCTCACCATCCACACTGCGCTCCTCTTGTCTCGCTTCGTACGCTAACGCCTCCTGCAACTTTTGCAACTTTTTTTTGTTTTTGCAAAGGCAGAAATGATTTGTATTGCTTTGCTCGAGGAGGGGAGAGCATTTAGCAATAAAACACTTCTGATTTTCAGGGGAGAGCCACCCGGTCAGAAAGCGTCCGTTTGCACTGAAACAAACCCCAAAAGAGAAGCTCCAGCAGAAAAGAGGATATTTTAAAAAATTTAAAAAGCTTTCTTGAAGGAGTTCCTAAAGATTTCTTGAAGGTTTTCCTAAAGAGAATTGGTTTTCTTAAAGAGAAGAAAACTTTAAAAAAAAAATCCAAAATGCTCTGTCGAAGAGTCCTGAGTGCCCCCCCCCTCAAGGAAGTTGTGTCTTAAAGAAACTTCATCATAAGACACTGGATTACCCAGGATATGTTTTCTGTTCCAACTAGAGGAGAACCAGTGTGTGAATGAGACAGAGGTGCTATCCGTCCCATTGATTCAGTGGGTCTACTCTACTTAGGAGCTGGGATTTAGCCTGACTCCCTACAACCAGCTCCGGAGACAAATCCTGATCATTTGCATTGACATAGATTCATGAATTAAATCTATATACACAGATTTAAAAGTGCCCCTTGAGCATGAGTTTAAACATACATAACACCCTCAAACATTGTTTAGGAAGTAGGAACGATGGAAATCCAAGCCAGCTTGAAACTCGGCCGGCTAGAGTCGCTCCCTGCAAAGCATTCTGGGAAAGCGGCCAACCATTTCATGCATGGGGCTCCCTCAAAGTCCCGTCTTCAAGTAAAACAGCAATTTGATCGTTGTTGTAATACCTCAGATGCTTTTGAGACTCCGGCGTGGAAGTGCGAAGGGTGGCGGATTCAAGTGACGATGGGCCATTTTTCTGGCACTCCACCAGGAGGCAGGGTAAGTAAATATGGCAGAGTCAGGCATGATACCTCATAGAATCTTAGAGTCCGAAGAAAGCCGAAGATTTCCACCCTCTTCTAATGCATGAAGGAACCAGACACCTGTCCTATATTCCAGGCAGGAGATAAAGTGGGAAAGCAGTGGCAGCTCAGGGCAGAAACAGACAAGACAGCAGCTTTGCAATTAGAAAGTGACAAAACCTTGCTCCTCCAGAAAGAACTCCCCACCCCACCCCTCAGACAGCTGTGTTTGCTCAGTGAACGTGAGAACGAAGCCCAGTGATCGCCCTTGACAACTAATCCCCAAATGAAAGCAAGCTAATTGCAATAAGCAAAGGAAACACACACACACCGATGATAATCAGATGCCTTTTTCTTCTTAAGGCACTCCGCTTCTAACTGCGAAGCTGCCACGTCTTGTCTGTCCCTGCCCGTGTGAAGCAGCCAGGAAATGTGTCCAGGGAGAATTCGAGCCTGGAAACTGAACGAGGGAGAGAATGGGTCCTGTCAAGTTCCAAGACACGGGTCTGGATATGGGGTTTAGCACCCAGAAAGAGAAAAAGAGAGAGAGAGAGAGAGTCAAACATCCAGCACGTGGTTCAGGTAGGAGATGTAACAGATTGCGAGCCGCAGGATCTCAATTTTGGACAGCTTCTTATCCGGCGGGAGAGTCGGCAGCAGTTTCCGGAGCTCCGCGAAGGCCATGTTGAAGGCCTCAACCCTGATCCTCTCCCGCGTGGCGTGGGCCGTCCGGTACTTAGCCGTGGCACGCCGCCGACGCCGGCGCTCTTCTCGGCTGAGGTGCTGAAGGTCTTTTTTCACGGCGTCCCCAGCCTCGGCCACCCGGGACTGGCCGCAGGTCCCGAGGGGGTTCGCCTCTTCCACCCGGACGCTTCGGCCGCCCCCGCAGTCGCTGAAGACCGACTCGGTCTCCGAATGCGTGGGCTGCAGCTCGGTCTCCGTCTGATCCGAATTCAGCATCATGGCTTCGGGCAGAAGACGGAGAGCCAAAGCGAACCGGCCCCCGATGGGCGAGAGGAAGGATCCGGACAGGGAAAAGCCGAGAGGGGAACAAGATTTGGGTGAAGCAAAAGTTATAAGGACTGGCTCAGCACAAACGTTGCCTGTGGAGCTGATCCTGGTTAGGATTCGGCCTCAGTGCACCGCCCTTCCTCGGGAATTCCTGCGCAGTTCCTCCGGTTTAGGTGAAGAAAGCAAACAAGTGGGTCAATATTTCCATTCGGCTCATGCGTTTCTGTAGAAAAGTGGTGTTCCAGGGGGACGGGGTGTATTTTTCCCCCAGCCATCCACAGCAGTAAGGAGGTCCTCAGCCTACCGAAAAGTAGAGAGGAGAAAAAGAGAGAGATTGAGCGAATCATTCCAGCATTTTAAAAGACATCTAGCAGAAGACATGCATTCATAAGTGTTTTTAGAAAACCACAGATCGAGTACTTCGAAAAGACTGTAAGGGCTTCATAGATCAGCCTGCAACAACAATAACTTGTAACAGCATTTTTAACAACGTATTCTTAGCCTTGTTTTGGGGAAAACCAAGGGGAGGGGGAGAATCAGGGTTGATGCAGGAAGTGAACTGTTAACTCAGATGGTGTTTGGTGAAATTAAATAGATTTCGCAACCCAGTTAAAATAAGCAACCCTCTCGCCACCTGGTAAACTATCTTGCTTTCATTCTGACCAAAAGCCACACTTCCGGGTCGGAAAGTCCGAGCTTCCACTTGCGTTGTGTAGTCATCTTTTACAAAATCGATTTCAAACATACTAAAGCTGGGTCAAAGAAGGGTTCCTTCCCCCAGTGTAACTGTGCTCTAAAATAAATTAGTTGGGTTTTGTTGTGATGGCCTGCCACAGCTCCTTCTCCTGATGGAATAAAAGTGAGTAATTTGGAAAGGAAAGGGAAAGAAAGCAGAAAAAGAGGATGAGATATGGAGTTAAGGGGAAATTAAGGCACAAGAGAAGAAGAGGGAGGCTGGTTATTAAAGGATGTGCAATGGGAAGAGAACCGGTCGCTGGGGAGGCAGACGGAGAAACATAGACAGGGAGGATGATTGCCTGGAAGAAAAACACAGGTAACAAAAGGCTTCCTTCTGAAAAGAAAGCAGAAATATGGCGCCAGATGTCATGGGAGTCTCAGGTCGGCAGCAGAGCTATAAGTGGTCTCTCAAGGCACGGGGTGGCGAGAGGGAAGAGGGGCCCGATTTTGAACGCTCCTGGCCCATCCCGGTCCCTCGGGGGCGGCAGGTGGCGAATGGGCGAGGGGGAACCGCCGCAACCCTCGGCAGGATGGGGGGCTCACCCCTGAGAAGAAAAGGCCCCTTCTGTTCGAGCAAAGGGCCGTCTGGGGCCGGTTCGGCCGCTCTCGACATATGGAACCCGCCCCAAGTACTTCGCCGGGCGTATCCAGATGGCAGCAAAGACCAGAAGGGAAGGAGGGGCTGTCAATCCGCTAGTCCTCAGCGTTTTATTTCCCAAATCTTCCTCTCTCTCTGTTTCTTTGGAGTGACAGCCTTCTGTCGAAGTTCTTCACTTTGGGGCAGGTTCATAAGGGTGCAGGATGATGCCTGGTGAGCAGACAGCTCCCAAGCTGGTTTCGGGCTTTCGTGGCGGAAGCAAACTGGGGTTCCCAAACGTCAGCCGGTTTTTGGCAACTCCGGCCCCAGGGCTAACTTAGGGAATGGCATGCAAAAAACGGCAGAGCAAATGCATAAAATCAAAAGGGTCTGGAAGCCATGCATTACAGGTAACTAAAGAACAGGTAACTTAAGTTACCCACAACCAGATACCTTTTTCTATTTTTATATAATGAGCACGTATTGAAGCTACATTTCAAAAGGAATCCAGCAAAAATCTGGGAAACCGCTCCTTCCTTTTTTGAGAAAAAAAAATGTCCTGGCCCCTTTAGACAAATTTCTCAAGTTTTATGGCCTCCTTTTTTCAGGCGAGTAACGAGTAACGCTAGCGACTCATCGCTTCCTGGCTTAGTTGCCCTCGCAGCCTGTCTCCTGCGCCCCAACCCACCCAGTGAGATTTTTGAAAGCCAAAAGAAATAAATAAGCCAATTGTTAAACAAAGTAATAATAATATTGTCCCCTTTCTTTGCAAACCTGGAAAAAGGAAGGATACATGAAAAAACCAAGACTCTTGTGACACGCTTAAGATCACCCCATTTATCTGGCTTAAATGTTTGTCACTTGGAGCCCCTTTTCTTTCAGATGCAAGCTCTTCTTGACCTCCGGATGACCAATCAATTGGGGCAAACTTTTGGCCACTAAAAAGATATTTATCATGTGTTCTGTAACCCTACCCCGTCTCCTCTGGAAATGTCTGCCAGGGAAGGGGAATACATTATTATTATTATTATTTTTCAAAAGTAACTTTTCCAAACTCCAAGCATCCAGCAGGGAGAGCAAACCCATGGGGGGAAAAATGGTCAGGGGCATTCTGGATTTCGACGGGTCGTCTTCAAGACACAACAGATCTCCTGAGATGAAGCTGCCTAGGGACCGTTGGAGCCCAAAACTTGAGCAAGAGAGTCATTTTAACAGGGGGAGAGAGATGAAATGATGCCGTGCCCAGGAAATAAAAGTTTCTTAAGGAACAACTCGCTCGTCTTAAGGGCTTCCGATTCCCTAAACCGTGCCACGCAGAAGCTCGGCTACTTTTCGGCGATAACAGCACCAAGGATTAACCAGCCTCCTTAGTTCTGGGCAGGCGTCTGTCATTCAGAGGGGGGAAAAATCCGTGAAGAAAGATGACAGATGCTTCCAAACAAAGGCAGCACTCTGCCCTCCTGGTGCCCCGTTCGTGAAATGCTAACACGGCATCGGACAGCGCTGCGCTCTGTTTTTAATAGTGAGATTCCTTCCTCCTTTTTCCTTTGCCCCCCCCCAAAAACCCACTCAGGAGTTAAAAACAGGAGATTTGCACACTTTGAGATGGACCTGCTTTGCTTCAGCGGAAGCTGAGCCCCACGGCTCTCACGCCAGGCAATGGAATAAACAGACGCCCTTGGCTTCTTCGTGGGCATCCGAGCCCTACAGATCTGGCCGCTCTTTTGAACACCTAAAGTTAGATTTCCACTCAAAATCTTCTTGCGTAACGGCAAGACCGGTTACAGTCTGGACGCTCTCTTTGGAACTAGTTCGGACAAAAACCCGGAACGGATTAATTAAGACGCCTGGCTTAGCCTCCAGAGTCGGCACTCTCGCTGACGGTTTCACGACAGGTCCCTTTTTGTTACGGTCCTATGGTCTAATTGCACAGTCACGGGGGCTGATTCGGGTGCCCCGTGTTTGGCAAACAGCACGCCCTGAAACACTTCTGGAGCTGAACCTCAAAGGCCACCCTTCGCATGGCGGAGGAAATGGGTCAGAACTCAGAAGCCCAACCAAAGAATGGAGTTGTTTGTTGTAAAGGTGTCACAGCTCCTGTTTGTGGGTCCGGTGCACCTGGGGGACACAGCTGGACCCTACCAAACGGCCGGGAACACCAGGACATTTTTTGAGGACCCTTCTAAAGGGAACCGGCTTCCTTCGCCATGAGATTTGTGGGTCCCTTTCTTCAGATGCCCAGCGCACCGTATTAAAGCCACATGTGCACTTGTAAAAGATAACAGCGGAGGAACAGAAGAGTTGGAAAAGGCACAGAAAACAGCAACCGGGCTGTCTGGTATAAATATCCCAGCAAGAATACCAGTTTATGTTGTCTTTTTAAAGGAATGGATTGGCAGTTGCTGTTTTCTTAATTTTCTGGCTAATTTGATGAGAGCAAGATCGGTAACAAGAAGGGAGATGGACCAGAACTCTGAGCATGTACAGAAAGCAGCTTCGTAAGAAGTGGGTTTGCTTCTTCACCGACCTCCCTATAAGAAATCCTCAGTGCCGTGAAATTTTAAAAGACAAAGCAATACCCCCCAATAAAAGATGTTTAAAAATGCACAGCGGTATTGACATCCTGAGTGCTCTCACGCGTCCGTATCCAAACGGATTTCACGCCCCGGATTGGACTGGGTGGTTAGCCACCTCTCGGCATCTGGTTGCGAGTTCGATTCCCCTCCACGGTTGCCTCCTGGGAGAAAAGCCAGCCTGGGTAGCCGTGGGCAAGCTGCCGAGTCCCCGAAATTTCCCCAGGGGAAAAAAGGGAATTGCCCACCCCTTCTGAATCTTCTCTACCTGGAAAAACCTGGAAAAGGTTGCCATAAGTCAGAACTGTCTTGGTGGCACATAATTATGATTCAAGGTGCAGAGATCCATCCATACAGGCTGCATTCTTATTTCGCAATGGAAGCCCATGTTCCCCACGAAGGCGGTCCAGAGTCTGCACCTGAGCTGCTAAGAAACTAGCCTGCCTTTCCAATATTCGGAGAGAACAGCCGCTCGAGAGAGAGGTGTGGTTTTAAAATTGGCACTAAGCCCAGGGAAATATTACATCTCCTGCTTTTCCTACGGAACGAAGGACTGAGGATCACAGCACCCATGTTCCCCATTCTCCTCCGCTGGCCCCATGATTTCCTAGTTGCATCACCTGCTTCCCCCTCCCCCCCCCCGCCAGCTCGGCTCTAACAGCTCCCTTCAGGACTTACATCTTCCAGAACCTCAGCTTTGAAAATCCTAAGGGATGTGACGGAAATTAAGACGATCCTCTCTCTGAGCTTCCTAATTGTTTGTTATTTGTTTAACGAACCTTTGCTCCCATATCCTAGGCACCAACATGATCTGCAGGCGTTGGGCACGGGCAGGGTTGATCGCCATGACCTGAAGAGCACAGAGGTCACCGTCGCTCTTGACCGGCACAAGAGCTGGTAAGTTGGCAACCATATTCCGGGGGAGGGGGGGGAAACAACCCAGCCACCAACAAACAACTGATTTCCACCAGAGGTCACCGTCGCTCTTGACCGGCACAGGAGCTGGTAAGTTGGCAACCATATTCTGGGGGAGGGGGGGGGAACAACCCAGACACCAACAAACAATTGATTTCCACAACTCCAAAAAACAGAAAAGAGAAGAGAGAGCTAGGGAATCAGTCAGGGCTCTTCCAGCCCCCCCCCCCCGCCCAGTCAAGCAAAGTGGAGGAGAGGTTGAGAGTTCGAATCCTCAAAGGTTGCCTCCTTGAGAAGGGTTGGACTGGATGATCTCTTAGAGTCCCTCCCAACAATGGAGTTCGAGGATTCTTATTAAGGAACGGCTGTGGGAAATGGGGCTTCCAAAGCAATGAGATTTCCTCTGGTTGCTTTGTCAGGTAACAAACGGACAAGGCTTTTAAACACATATTGATTTTTTCTCTCTCTCTTTTTATGGCCACGAGGCTGAGC